AGACTGCTTTAAAGCAAAATGGAGAGAACTGGAGTGCCAACTACGAAAATAGTGTCTGTTTACGCATTCCAGCAACCCTTTCCTCACATGCAAAGAAATCAAACCATAGATGTCCAGAAATTAAGTTATGTTTATTAAGCTGAAATGGCAGAGGGAAAAAGCATTGAACACGTGAAGAAAGGGAGTTGCAAAAAGGCAGGGAAAGCCAGGACACAAGCAGAAATCTCTCACTAATTAGACAGCAATCCGGCCTCTTGTCAGTGCAAATTAATATCAGCATTATATCAACAGTCCCAAATAAAGGCCTACAAAAAGGTGTCTCTGGTATCACACAAGTAACATCTCATGATTGGTAAAGGTAAAGAGCTTTCTCAAGAGCTTCGTAGCTTTTATGATGGCACTGGTTTAAGAAGGATTTGTAATTTTCTGAATGATCCAGTGAAGTGGAAAGAACATCATTTCACAATAAGCCCACCAAGGCCAAGTGCTCCTTACAAGGTTTCTGACAGAAGAGTGAAAAGATTTATCAGAAGAGTTGTCCAAGAGCAAAAAAGACCACTTGTTGAGAGCTTCAGAAAGACCTGGATTGAGCAGGTACAATTGTTTCAAAGAAAACAATAAGTAATGCACTCAACCACCATGGCCTGTATGTATGCTCAGCAGGCATGTTGGAGCTCATTTAAAATTTGCTGCATTTTGACAAGCTGTGAAATACAGGGAGAATATTGTCTGGTCAGATGAGACCAAAATTTAACTCTTTGGATGTCATAATACACATCATGTTTGGTGGTCAAATGGCATTGAAAATCACGCCAAAAACACAATACCAGCAATGAAGTTTGGTGGTGAGAACATCATGGATAGGGGGTGTTTTTCAGCAAATGGTACTGGTGAAATTTGAATAATTAAAGGGAGAATGAATGTAAATATTGAACAAAGACATTCTTAATACAAATCTGACATCTACCATGATGATGAAGATGGAACATAGGTGAACATTTCAGGAAGACAATGACCCTAGATACACAGCCAAGGAAACTCTCAATTGGTTTCAGAGAAAGAAAATAAAGCTTCTAGAATGGCCTAGCCAATCACCTGACTTGAATCCAACAGAAACTCTATGGAAAGAACCAAAGATCAGAGTTTGTATAAGAGACCCACAAAACCCTCAAGATTTTCAAATGGTTTGTGTGGAAGAATGGGCCAAAATCACACCTGCAATGCATGGGACTAATTTCTCCATACAGGAGGCATCTTGAAGCTGTCATTGCCAACAAAGGCTTTTGTACAAAGTATTAAATACATTTCAGTAGGCATGTTCAATACTTTTTTCAATGTGCCAGTGCCCTTTATTACACATTAGTTAATATCTAGACATCAACGGTTTGATTTCTTTGTATCTGTGGATTGCATGGATTGTTACTGACATCTGGTGAAAATGTCATGTAAATAGTACCTTGAAATATATTTACCAAAACAAATGGTGGCATGGACTGCTGGAGATAGGCACCAGCACCCCTCGCGACCCCACTCGGGACAAGCGTGTAAAGAAAATGGATGGATGAAATGGTGGCATGTTCAATATTTATTTTATCTGCTGTATAAAAACATTTCCAGGCCTTATTTCTTGTTATTTTGATGGTCTTTCTTACACTATTGAAATACAACAGAAAGCCATTGCTAAAAAAAAAAGCTGGTAGTCCATTAATAGCTGTATCCAAACATACTCAAAAGAATGTGTGGTAAAAAAAAAATGCACATCATCAAGAAAGATTTGCATTTAGTTTGGAAATAAAAGTCCCACATTCTGGAGTAAGACGGAATAAACTGAGAATCCATAATACTTCATGTTCAGTTTGAATTTTCCACTGACAGTGATGATCTGTGGTATCATACCATCTGCTGGAAGTCAACTGTCAATGCAGCTGTCTACCAGGAGATTTTCAGGGCACCTTATGTTTCCTTCAGCTGCAAAGCTTTATGGAGACGCTCATCAGAACCATATAAGAAATCTACAGAGTATAGTCAAAAAACAAACAAAAAAACACAGTAGATTACCTAAAGGCCTGCTTCAATTGGACCTTAGCATAACCATAGCCTGCGTAATACTCACATTTTATGACACACTGAATGGTGTTTTATTTTTTTTTGACAAAAAAGGGCTTTGAAATTTTATCCTCAATAAGTAATGAAATACATTTTAGAACAATATTGTATTTCACTGATGCTGTATCTTTCACTGATGCCCTGCTGTTTTCAAATATCCAAGCAAGAAGCTGAAAACAGTTAAAAAGCAAATGAATTATCTAACCCCATTTTTTAAAGCTTTTGTTTAAAACCTTCTTCCATGACAGGTCATCGTTATTGCAATGATGCTTCGTAAAGAGAAAGTCGCCCTTCAGTGCCACTTATACTGCCATGAGCAGCTTTATTCCTCTAAAGCTAAGATTGACATCCACTGGGATCACTTTGGCTTTCCATATGGGACAGCTGACATCTTGTGTCCCCTCCCTTCAGGCTGTGGGACACCAACCCGTGTAGCCATCACCACAGGAGCCATTAGGAACAAAGGTACAGAAGTTTCATGTTGATATACAGTGGGGCAAAAAAGTATTTAGTCAGCCACCAATAGTGCAAGTTCTCCCACTTAAAAAGATAAGAGAGGCCGGTAATTTTCATCATAGATATAACTCATCTATGGGAGACAAAATAAGAAAAAAAAATCCAGAAAATCTCATTGTCTGATTTTTAAAGAATTTATTTGCAAAATATGGTGAAAATAAGTATTTGGTCAGTTACAAACAAGCAAGATTTCTGGCTCTCACAGACCTTCTGTAAGAGGCTCCTCTGTCCTCCACTCGTTACCTTCATTAATGGCACCTGTTTGAACCCGTTATCAGTATAAAAGACTCCTGTCCA